TAATTAAAGTTCACAACCAGCTGATTTTAAGTAATGAAGATAATCTTTGATAATCTGGGTGGTCCTGACTAAAGCATTTGGAAGGTCTTAAGAGCAGAACGATCGTTCTCTAGAAGAAATTCCACCTACTGAAGACAGTGTCAACTCCTATCACAGTTTTAGCCTGCCCTTCCTAAGGACTTCCCCTCCAGGTTTGGGCTGGTCTCAGCCAGTCCCCCAAACTAGAATTGGCTTATTTGATTGCTTGCAATGAATCATAGCTCTGTGTGTGTGTCTTGTTTTGGGTTTTGGGTGTTTTTTTTCTAGTTGAACCCCAATCATAGTTTCTAACAGACTTTTGGGGAAAAAGAATGAGAGGAAACCCCTGATAACCTAGGGGAATTTAAGAGAAGATCCATGCCTCAGTCCTCATCAGGGTCTCCTGGGAAAGATCACTTAGCATGAGAGCCCAGTGCCTTCTCCACACATCACACCCTCCCCATGCCCATTCCCTGTCCCCTTAGCAACAATCTGGTCCGGATGACAATTCCAAATCTTCCAAAGCTTCCAAGTTTGAATACGGTTGGGAAAAAGCTAAGAGTTTTGTGGTTAAAAACAGTCAGGAAACACATGGAGTTTGGACACAGGGAAAAGCCAAAGACTTTTCAGTCAGCACACAAGCCTGGGGATAACAAACTTAGTTCTCTCAAAAGAAGCTTAAAAGTTCTGGAATGATTGTATTTAACTGTGTTTTTCAACATCAGTAGATGCATGATGCTAGAGTGGGAGTTCAATTATACAAAAATTTTATTTTGTACATCTGAAATGCCAATTATACTCCTCATTAAGTGAGGAGGGGTTTCTGCCCTTTATTGTTCTGGGGTCACGTATCACCTGTGCTGCCTGACATTTCTCTGACCCTTTAAATACAGGGCTTGATCAGTAAAGGAAAATGGAATGCAGGCCTAGAAGACAGCAATGAGGAGTCCAGGTTGGGACCTGAAGCTTTAGGTAGACTTCAGTGACCACCTGTACTAGGCAGATGAATGATCCACAAAGAACAAGAAAGATAGGTTCTGCCAAATAACAGAGACAATCGGTAGAATTGAAAATACCAAGTAGTGCAGAGGTTGAACATGACAGTAAGCTGAAATCCTCATCTAAAACTTTAAATGCAGTCTTACCTAAGCATATTATTCAGTTATGGAGGCAACCTACAGAAAAGAAAAGGTCAAAGTGGTTTCTCCTAGGGAGGAAGAATAAGGGTAGGGAGGGGAAGGAGTAGAAAAGGCCTGCTCTTTAATAGTTCTACACTTTTTTTTTAAACAACACACATGCCTCCTATGTTGTTAAAATTTTTTAAATGATTAATCCCCATTGTCTAGCAAGGACTAACTTCAAAAATGATGCTTCCATTAAATGGGGGGAAATAACATCTAAAAATATCCACCTGAGGTTGTGTGTTTAATAAGACATCCCTAATTAAACATGATTGTTAAATTTTTTTAAAAAGCCAACAAAAAACCAAATGTATTAGTTCTGTATTCAGAAGTCCAAGACTATATTTTTGGCACTTGTCTTATAAGGTGGAAATCAAGGTTATCAGCCAGACTTGGCTCCTCTTGAGGTTCTGAGGAAGAATCTTCTTCCAAGTTCCTTCAGGCTGCTTACTAAACAAAGTTCATGTGGCTATATCACACAGGTCCCTGTCTCCTTGCTAGAGGGCTACTTTCAACTCATAGAGGCCACCCACATTTTTGCTCTGTGACCCTCCTCCATCTTCAAAGTCAGCAGCAAATCTCCCTCACAGTGAAATCCCTCTTGCACTTCAACTTGTTTCTGCCTGGAAGAGCCCAGACCATGTTTAAAAGTTCACTTGATTAAAGCAGGCCCACAAATTAGTCTCCCTCCTTTAAACTGCTTTGAGACCTTAATTATCTCAAAAAAAAAAAAAAAGCTTCACAGCATACCTAGGAACCTAAATTACCATTCGATTGGGTAATTGACAGATGTATGTACACCAGGGAAGTGGGGATCTCAGGAATCACTTCAAAATTCTGTTTTGTATGGCAAGCAAGTCCAAGATTATAATCTCCTCACCAGGAATTTATAGGGCATTTATATCCTGCAATTCAAAAAAAACTTTAAGCATATGCATACTGAATGCAATGCTGTTTTTTCCAGCTTTGAAATATAATTGATAAAAATTGAATATATTTAATGCTCTCTGATACATGTAACCACTGTGAAAGAATTACCACCATGAAGCCAATTAACATACCCATCATCTTACATACCTTGTGTGTGTGTGTGCGTGTGTGTCAAGAGCATTTAAGACCTATTCTTGGCAAATTTCAAGTATCCAGCCTTCTAAAAATATATGTTCTTAATAAGCCGGCTGCTGTTCAACCACAATAAGACTGAAGAGCAAAGTAAAGAAAAACAACATGGACGTAAGAATTATACAGGCAAATTTTAAGTATTTTAAAACTTCATCTCAATCATATCAAGTAATTCATATACCTTACTATAATTAGTGATTTTATTATTTTTTTAAAAGGGCTAAACTGCAGCGATGTTTCATGTAGAAGTAAATGACCACTCATCAATTGGATGATGTGGACAATTTGATAATGAAAATGACTATTTTTATACTGCCAGCCGTCACCCCAAATTAGTTAGGGAGATGTGCTTTAGAGATCTCCAGGAAGAAATGAAACGACAGATTATGGCAAGGGAAAGCTACCAAGAGCATATCCCAGTAGCTTTGCTAATCAAAATGATACCTGTTATACAGATGGTAAAATGTGTCCTTTTCTGGGCATTTTTGTTCTTTCCCTTCCTGATAACCCCTAGCATTATGAATTAATTGAACAAAATACAGGACAAGGAGTTAAGTAACCTCAGTTCCGATCTTCCTCTGCAACTTTGGCAAAGTCATTTATCTCTACATCCCATTGGCAGGATCCTGGAATTTTAGAACTGAAATGGACCTTTGAGGTCAAGATCTTTATCATTCCACCCAGTTCTCAAATCATATTTTACCCAAATATCAACTTTTAAAAGGGGAAATATTCCACTTAGAAAAATATGGTATTTTAATGAATATAACACAGTATTTGGCTTCCTGGTTGGTAAGTTATTACTTTTAAGTTTAAAGTTTCTACAGAGGTTTGAGCATTTCAGTAAGTGAAACCTCTTGCCCTGCTCCTAGGCGCCTGGTGATTCACTACACTGAACTACTCTTTTGCTTATATTGTCAAGTTCTTTATTTGCACCAACTTATTTCATTATCCTATAAAGTTATAGATGATTCCAGTTTTAAGTCCTAATACACTCAAATCAATTCAGTTTTCCTGCCACCTTCTTGGCATGAGCTACAAAACAGAAGGCAGAATTCACAATTAAATTATTCTGAACTTTAATGTATTAATATTCCTGGACCTCTGATATAATTTAATTCAACCCACATTTACCAAGAGGTTATGATAGGTCTGATTTTGCACCAACACTGTTCAATTTTTAGGTGTATTTTTTATCCCCAGAACACAGTATGTTTAAAACTGAGGTACAAATAATTTCCAGAGGAGTACAAATAGTCACAGGCCTTGCCTTCAAAGACATAGTGGAAAAGATGGAAATAGGACAAATGACAGAATGAAATAAAATTCTAAGTCATTTGGTGGTGTTTGTGTTATACAAAATGGCTCCCAGAGACATCCATGTCCAAATCCCTGGAGCTTGTGAATGTGTTACATGGCCACAGAGGAATTAAGGTTATAGATGAATAAAATCACTGTAAGTGGACCTTCAATTACATGAGATCTTAGGCTAGGAAGAGGGAGGGAGAAGAGTCAGGTAGACATGTCCTAAGGACTGGGTACAGCTTGTTGCCTAAGATGATGAAATGGAGTCACAAAAGCGAAAATATGTGAGTGGATTCTAGAAGCCTGGAGCAGTAGTAACAGATTCACCCAAACAGGTTCCAGAACACAATTCTACCAATGTGATTTCACCCGTGAGCCCCATTTCAGACATCTGTAGAACTCTGAGAGAGTTCTAATATAGCTAACTTGTGCTAATTTGTTACAGCTGTCATAGGAAACTAGTCTTGTGCCACAAAATTGATTTTAGCTCTGAAAAGGGTTCACTGCTATGGTACTTTCTTAAGGTGGGAAAGGCCTGAGTGCAAGAGGGAAGAACAGCTGTTTGTGAGTTAAATTCTTTCTACCCTAAGTGTGCTCCCCTTTCTCAGCAGCATTGTGGGAAGTGGCTCTTTATTTTTTTGTATTTTGGAAATGCAAAAAATGCTAGAGTCAAGCACTGGTGACTCAAGCCTGTAATCCTAGCTTCACAGGAGGCAGCGATCAGGAGGATTGCAGTTCCAAGCAAACAGTCTGAGAGACCCTATCTGGAAAAAGACCCTTCACAAAAAAGGGCTGGTGGAATGGCTCAAGGTGAAGGCTGAGTTCAAGCCCCACTACCGCAAAAAAAAAAGGCTACAGTCAGCATCTTAACAAGATGCCCAGAAAATGTGCACTGATAGTAAAGTTTGAGAACCACTAAATTAAATTTATTAAAAACTACTTTAGAAACCTAACTCTTCCTTTTGACTCATAGATATCTGGAAAAAGTATTTAAATATACCAACAAAAAGAATGCTAAGCTGCTGTTGATTACCACTGACAAAAAGATAAAAGACATTTCCAGTGCTTGTGAACAATGAAGGCCCCTCACTAAAATCCCTTGGTCCTACCTGCAAAGGATTTCCCTTTTGTGAAAATTCCCATGAGTTAAAACATTATATATATCAAAATTCATTACCTTTGAGTACATATGACAATTCTGAACTATTATTCATTGAGCCGTCTTGTGAAGGACAAAATAATTCTGCTCACAATACATTTTCTTTAATTATTTTAATATAAAAGACAACAATGTTTCATATTTCACACAATATTAAAAAAAATGTTAAAACACTCTAAGTAATGAAAATAAATTTATTGAAGAGTAATAACGATCACAAAGTTAGTACTACCAAATCATTACTGATGCCGGCTGCATTAACATTTGGAGGGTCAGCGGAGAAAATATAAAACAGAGTATGAACATTTAAAAACTACATTTTACCAGACTGTATTTCTCTGCAAACTATGCTATGTACTCCAGATTGTTGTAAAGACATTCATTCAGCTGTAGTCCTACATCAAACATGTTAAAACAGCCCTCTGCCAGTCACATAGCATTACACATCATTCCATCTTTCTACAAAATTAATGGGTCTTTCATGGTAAGAATCAGGCAGGAAAAAAAAATAACAGAGAATTAGTAATGGTGACAAGAGTAAGAAAATCACTACAATCAAGAAAGGTATGTAATCATTTAACATAATTCAGTCTGGATAGATCAATGCAACTCACTCAGTAAATACTCCAAAACACTGTGAGACAAGCGGGTACATGATCTAGAATCCTGTTTGTAAACCCATGTATAATAATTCTATTTCAATCAACCTGTAAAGTACAACCACTGAATCTACATTAACATTATAACATATATCTTACAATAATATAAAAGGCAAATCATTATTGGTACATATTTTTTCTTTGAAGTGCACAATTTCAGAAAACTTCACCAAATGTGCACTTTCGAAAGGTATAATCATGTATACAGTATAGACAAAACAGGCACCTCCATTGTAATGTTTTAATAAATAAAAGCCCATTAAGAAAAAAGAAGGTAAGCAGCACCTGAAGCTTCTGACATCGGTAACTAAATGCTGGTACCCAAATGATCTAGCTGTTAAATGTTACTAAGAGCCGCAAAAAAGGAGCCATTTTTGACTTAACATTTTAATTCTAGTAGAGACATGAGCTTGTCTGAGCTTACAGTCCTGTCACCTGATGGTGAGGAGGATACCAGTCTTTCCAATGTCCTATACTTTGGAAAGCAGACCTGACTCTGGAGCACTGGCCTTAATGAGATTCTGGATTTCCTTGAATTTTGGATGGTCTTTATCAGCCACCAGCTGTAGCAGAACAGCTTCACTCGTGGTCACTATGATCCCAGTTCGAGCAAGACGCTATAAAAGAAAAAATGAACATTAACAAGAAGTGAGCAAGAGAAGGAACACTCCTTCTAAACAGCTGAAGTATGCCAGGACACAACAATTACATTCCTCTAATGTAATGTTTGACCATGGTTCTCAGTCAAACCACCAAACTCAGAGATGGGGAAAGACTTCAAAACCAGCCATACCACAAACTCACTGTGTGTATTCTCAGGATCAGTAAAATGGACTAGACACAAGTAAAAAGAAACCAGGTAGCCAATGTGATGACCAAGAGCAACAGGGGCAGGAGGGTAATCAAGACAAATGACTGTAAACATGTAAAAGATGATAGAGAAAGAATGCTACACACTGTATCTACATCATGGACTATTTGGACATTTTTCATTGCTGCTGTTCCCTAAATACTAAAGATTTGTGTCTCATCTCTCATGTCACTCACTCAAATGAGGACTGCTTTTGATTTCTAAATATTAAACTCTTGTATTTTTATTTCTACCACCAAAAAAAAAAAAAAGAGGTGCCCCTGTCCCCATACAAGCTAACTGAAATATATGACACTATGAGATGTGTTAACATTTCTGTCTGGCATTCTTGGCATCTGACATCTATTTATTTAAAAAGAATTTGTGCTACAGTTAATATTACATCTGTCAAGAATATTTCAGTGCTAATTTATTTTCCAATTTCATATAACTAAATTTTTAATTGCATTAAAACTACTAAGATTAAAATGAGAATTCTTAATTTCCTTTTTCTGCCAACAAACATCTGACATACAGCATGTGAATTCTTTCCGTAAGTAAGAGAGCCCTTGTCTAGAAATGAGTGGCGGGAGAAGAAAAGCACCTCATGTGATGGTTAAGAATGTGCCCTGGTTTAACAAAACCACCCCCTCTGCTGCCATCATTAATTTTTTAAATCACTCAACAAGAGTATAAAATGTAGGGTTGTGTAAAGCTTCCCTAACAAGTCAAAGAATCTCCTTGCCAAGCTGCTGCATTGTAATCATAATAACTAGGACGGAAATCTCAAGGTCAGGAAGAGGGAGAAGGGAAGGAAAGAGGACAAAGAACAGAAAGTCCAATGGGAAAAATCAGAGAAGTGGGAGGAATGAAGGAAGAAGAGAACAAAACTCCATAGCAGAGATCCATTCTCTGCATATATCTGTTACGGAAAACCCTGGGGAGAAACAGGGCAAACTGTTATTCCAAGAAGCATCCACTGTAAGAACCACGGAAGAGGAAGTGGTTAAAAACAATTCCTAGGCAAATCAGAGAGAAGGCCCAACTCAGTCTCCTCATAAGGAGGGTGCACTTGGATAGCCAGGACATATGTGCAAGTGTAAGTAAATCTTCCCTCAGATAGCTGCACATCCACAGAACCAGCCTTTCCACTGGCAGGTTCCTTCTCTTTATCCGCAGGACACAGAAACCTAAAAGCCATAAACCTACTTAGGAAGCAAGTTTTATCCTCAACAGCCAGTACAGAAAAGGGGGCAGAGCAACTGACCAGGACTCTAAAAAGTGAAAAATGGCAGGGAGTTTTGCAGGAAAGTGGTACAGAGTAGGTTTGCAAAGCCTTCTATAAGGTCAGACAAATATCAGGGGTGAATTTGTTTTAAAGATTTCTGGAAACTCTAATTTCCTACTCCTTGAGTTTAGTCAGCTGATTATCTTACCAAAACTCTTCAGATCTCAGAACATCCTGTGCTTGCCTTAGACAGAACAGCAGGGCATGTAAGATGAGTGTGGAAAAAGTACTGAATGTCCACTTACTCAAGCCCAACTCTCACCCCTGCCAGCCACCCGCTCAGTCCTGCCTTCCTTCCTTTTACTATTGAATCAAGGCTCTTTCAAGGATTCATTGTGAATCACAGACGTTCCATCTATGAAACTGCTTTGTATGATTCAACGTGCCAACAAAGGTTTGTTCTTACTCATCGTTCTAGTTTCCTTAGTGAGGCAGAAAGGGGAGAAAATTTGCCATGATCAAGGAAGAAATCTGTTGGCCCAGGAAGGACCCTGATTACAAAGTATATCTTTTTCTAGTACTCTACTGACCACGGTCTGGTTCATTCTGTCCCAGCTGTCCTCAGGGATGCTGACAGTCAGGTCACTGGGCAGAGGCAGACTGGTATGCTCATGTCACAGAAATACATGTGTGTAAGCTGACACCTATACAATACTAATTAGCTTCAAGACTGAGATTGAACAATGTTTTAAATAAATAATAGCCAAGAAATCTGTTAGGCATGGCACAGAAGAATTCACAGCTTTTAGAACAAGCTCTTAAACCTCTGCATAGTACCTGACAGGTGCCTGTGCAGACAGAAAACAGCAGGAGCTTTTCCCGACACACCTGGAAGCTAGAAGGTTCCTGTCCACCAACTGGCCATAGTTGGCCACAAGCCCACTTTTTTTTCTTCTGGGTTAAAAAGGGATGAGTAAAACTGTGACTATTTAATACACACGGATATATGATTTTTCCCTTCCCTAGAACTTCTCAGGACTAGCCCGTTATGGATCTTGTAGCTTATTCATTTCTGGTAAGATTAACCTTGGGAAGACAACAGCAAGTAATAATAACAAAGAATAAAACTCAGCATCCAGCAGTTGAGTACTTACTGTGTCACACTATACCGACTGCTGCAGACATACCTATTACCTCAATTAACCCACACTGCAGTTCATACTGTTTCTGCTTCACCAGTGAGTGATCTGAGGCATGGAGGTTGTGTAACTTGTTCAAAGACACACATTTATGAAACACCGGCTCTGCACTTAAAACCACATTACTACCCACACCGTAACTCCCAATCACTGACATGATGGACAGACAGGCTGTCAAAGAATGAGGTCTGGATGGTAATTAGCTGACTATGTTTTTAATCTACACCTTATGGGAAGATAGAATTGCTAACAGTCAGAATTCCTTGTGATAAATACCTTAAAAAAAAACACATACCCAAGAAACATGAATGTAAGGACATGTCCTTGAAATTTCTTTACAGATAAGGAAGGTTTTGTTTTATTTATATGGCTTTTTACTTCATTGGAAATACTTTTAATATCTGGGCCTCAGCATGAAAATAAAGGTATTCAGCAAATCCAACAGTCACAATGGACTTGAAAACAGTTTAGCAAAACAAAATTATTTCCACCCTTAACTCCAATATGGGACTCACTGCTCAGGAATAACTGAAACAGACAGTCACCCAGAGCCTTAAACAACTGTAGGAGCCAGCTATGGCCTGTTTCCCTGTTGGCACTCCACAGTCAACACTCCTAATTTTTCTTTACTTCTTTTTTATTTTTAACTTGATTAATGACTTATTTTCAAGCAGAACTATTACCTCAAGAGCAAACATCCTGTCCATCATGCTTCTTGATGAGGTGGCATCAGCAACAATATGAACCTCTATTCCTCGGCCAATCAGCTCTAAAGCAGTTTGTTGGATGCACACATGAGTCTTGTTGGAAGATAAAAAAAATCATATATAAGAACACAGTAAACTGAAAATATTTTGAAAGTGTAAAACAACATGGTAAAACAGAGACCACTACAAATCTAACAACCTTGTTCAACATCTAGCCTTGCTCTAATCACCCAGGTGAGTCTGAGGATAAATTAGCACGTCTGGCTTTGGTTTATTCATCTGGAAAATCAAGAATTAGATTACATCAATGTTTTTCACTGGCGACCTTGAACATATTCTCAAGGGTTTTGTGAAAATTTGTAATGATTTTCATCTGCACCTTCTAAATAGCCTCAGGTAGCTGACTACTACTGTTCAGTTTGTGTTTCATTTGCATTTGGGTTTATTGCTGTACACCAAATGCCAAACACAAAGAATGAGTCTGCAGTATTGCAGAATGAGAAACCAGTAGGAAAACTAAGTTATTACAAGCTGTCCAGTAGTCAAGGTAGGAAAAACTAAAATAAGTTATGAAAGAGGCAAACATTATCATATGTAAAAACATGGTAACCTAAAAGCATTTGATAAATATACAACATGATAAAACAGACAGAGCACCACAAATCTAACAACCTTGTTTTACGTTTAGCTTTTGCCTCTAATTAGCTCAGTGATCTTGAGCCCAGTCACCATCTCTGGCTTCCGTTTATTCATCTAAAAATCAGGAACTAATGTCATCAACACCTGTATATACCAACGCCTACTTTGTAAATACTAACTGGTAACAATTCTTTAGTAAAAACACTCCTACACACACACAACACACACATAAAACAATTCCTTACTAAAAACATTTCAATATATAAAGTATATACAAAGTAAAAACAGTCCAATAACTGCATTATACAGCCAATGAAAGCAAATTTCAGTAATGCCACAATGCCAACTTTATCCTCACGTGACAAGAGAGCTGTGGAGAATTACTACCTGACGCCTCATTAAAATTACCCTTGGAGGACTGCTCAAAGAATATTTTGATGAAGCATGAGGTCTAATTACGATGAAATTGAGAAAAAATGTACAAAAGCCAGCAACAGCATTTGGTATGACATATTTACACTATCATTATAAAAATACCAGAAATATTTACTGTTTATCTTTCTATAACTAAAACCTACTATGATGAAACCTAGTGTCAAAATAATCATATTAAATTGATAGTCATCTTTATTTCACTCTTAATAGTTCATAATTCAAAAAATATTAATGTAATAGTTATTTAAAAGCTAGAAATAGATTAACTGTATCAGCACTAGGAATCTATAGAGTATTTTTTCCCCTTAAATGGGTTTGTATGTGATTCATACTTACAGAACAATGAACATGAACTCTAGGATTTTTTTCCCAAGAGTTTTTTGTAGAAAACATGACCAAAATGAAGTCTTACAACACATAAATAAAAATAAGGCCTTTAGTAAAAATATGTTCCAAATTACTAATTTCTAAGAATCAGGTGGCCTAGATTCAAATCCCACCCAATCCCTTACTAGCTCTCCAACCTTGGCCAAATTACATCCATGTATTTTAGTTTCCTCATCTACAATATTAGGAGACACCTAGAGTTGTTGTGAGGGTTTAAATGAGTTAACAGCTATAAAGTGTTTGAAACAATACCATGCAAGTGATAAACAATAAATGGCAGCTATTTTCCACAATCATGGCATTCTACATGCAAAACTACATTCTGAAAATAGTAAGTTTTTCACGATGATGTTACGCCCAAAACCTAAGAGAAGCTACTTACTTCTACTCCAAATAATACGACACTTCTGACTCCAGGAATCTCTGCTAATGCTGTTTCCACTTCTGGTAGTACCATTGAAAACTTGGTCTTTGGAAGAACCAGTTTTACACCCGTTAAGTCAATTTCTTGAACAGTGCTTCCAAGACCTTTAGGATACTGTTCTGTTACAATAACTGGAATTCCTAAAATCCGGGCCCCTTGCAACTGAATAAAACAAAAAAGCAATTAGCAATATACCTGAGTATATGACGAACATACATCAGGTCACAGCAAATTAGAAGAAAGAAAGAAGCATACCAGCCTTTGTCCTACGCTGATAATATCCCCAAAATACTTGATGGCTGGTCTGAACCTTTCCTGCATGTCACAGCAAAAAAACACAGTGCTTGAAGGTGTGAGATTTCCCAGGGTAGTGAGCTGAGGAAGAAGAAAAAAACAATGATTTAGCACTTGTTATACAATGACATTTACTTGCAGCAGAGGTCATACAGGAAGAAAAACGTTCCTATTGTTTGACCCAGTAAGTCAATTTCTACAATAAATTATCTGAATTATAGAAAAAGAACATAACCCACAAAGATGTTCTCTGAGTTCTAATTAATCGTGAAAATTAGGAATAATCCAATGATCAATAATACAGAAATAGTTCAATTTTAACACATTCAGACAACACATTTTTAGCCAATTAAAAAATATGCACATTTTCAAAGAATTTGTTCCACCTAAGGAGAAATGTGCACTGTAAAATGTTAACTGTAAGAAGAGCACAATTCAACAGCCTTTCAATCGTGTAAAAAATATGAATGAAAAGCAAATATATAAAAATATTAACACATGGTTATATAATTAAGAGTATTGGTAATTTTCTTCTCAAATTTTTTCTGAATGCTAATATTTGAATAAATCACTGAATATTATCTAAAAACATATTGCTCCTATAATCAGAAAGAATTTACAATAGCAAAAAACTAAAATTTCATGGTCTGTGTAAGAAAATGGCAAAATTTTAAAAAGAGTATCTGCAGCACAGACTCTGAAACATAAAAACTAAACTCACAAATCAGAAACAAATACAGAGGCATATAAAAATAATTGCTACCAAGATAAAAATATGAAGATGTTATTCTCAAGAATTAAATCTGAGAGTTCAAAAACAATGAAATGACATGATGCCAAGCATATCCTCACTGTTAAACCAACCGCCCTGTGCTGCAAGAGGAACAGACTCAAGTGCAACACCTGCATTTTTGAACACTATTTATCACAATTGGGGAAATCCATGATTAAGAGGATAATTGCATATTAGATTTCTAAGCTTTATATTAGTTGCTGTAGTTAGCCAACTTTAATAACTTGGGTCCAGTAAGGGTCTACCAAAAAGCAAAACTTACTGCTGAGTGTAAGAATTTAATTTCACTGGATTCTTGGAAGTCCACAGCGCTTTTCTTTCCACCTTGCAAATTACAGAAAGCTTTCCAAAGGATGTGCTCTGGTCCTGAATGAACCAACACCATTACTCTTAAAAGTCACCCTTAGGAGTCCCCTTTAATTATCCTATTTTTACCCCCTAAAAGCACTCACAGATTGCAATTACTAATAATTTCCTAGAGGAGTCTGTGTCCCAATTACATGGTGGTAGCTTCACCCCCACCACAGCTCTCGACAATGCCTTGGCATCTCTGCAGTTGGCAGACTCTTGGGAAACAAGTCCTATATGAATTAAATGAACCATTGAAACAAATCTCTTATCCTTAAATGCTGTGGCTGTTCTAATCAGTCTGAACTTTATTTTCTCTATGTTCTGTTCTGAGACTCTAGTACTTTAATCTCCTGTCACTACTAAGTATATATTATGTGTAGTGATTAACCATGTGTAAGCCAACACTAAATCGGTATTGGATTTGTGAGAGCCATCTGTCATTCTAACACTATGTATTGCATCATTCTTACTTTAACAATAAAGTATGATTGCAATAACCATTCAAGCACCTTCAATTACGCATTCCAACACTAGCTGTTTCCTTACTTCATTTTGTAATGCAAGAATTATACCTCCATTTTGGTCATTTCATAAGCGGTGACTATGATCCACACATAAAAGCATTGCCAAGAAAACCAATTTTTGTATACTTAGGATACTGTTTTAGAAAACATTCTCTACTTATGAGCAGTCATTTTTAATTTCCAGTAAACACTAAATCTTGGTTCAGACCTATATATTTTCTTTTCATAAATGTGAATCAGGGGTATAGCCACCCCCAATGTGATTATGGCACACTATATAAGAGTTTGCCTGCATCTGGCCTCTTTGAAAAAGTACAGTGACACAGCTCAGCCACACTTGTCATTCCACTTGCCAGCAAGAATAAAAAATAAAACTCCTGATGGTTACGTAAGTGCGTTGGTGACCGTGTACTGACATGCCTACGGCTTACACTTGCTTGGAACTCCAGCTCTCAGATACATCAGGCTACATTGTCTTACTCTCTGTACCTCCCTGAAAAGTTTGGTGCTCTAGATTCTAAATTCACAGAAGATTATAAACAGTAAATCAGAAAGGAAAGTGCTACAGTCAGGCAAACAGACAGTAGCAAGAATTGATAAGCGACATAAGAGATTCAAAATGCAGGAAAAGCAGATCAAACTCTGTTCTACCATTTGGGCTTCTGGTGAGAGAATAACACACTGTTGTAATGCAAGAATACAACATTCTAGGACTTATTAAGAATATGCTAAATAACATATTGTTTTCAGAAGGACTACAAGTCAAAATGATCAAAATATTAAGTTACAAAATTTGAAGGAGTACATCCCGACTTTGCCAGAAACTCTCTATTTACTCAGAGTTGTGGCCTCTGCGTTTTCCTGTTACTTGGTGTGTCCCTGTATCTAATGTTAGCTGGACAGGTGACAACATTAGATGCATTTCATATTAGACCAGGATTGAGATCAGAAAATGCAGCCCTAAAATCCTCAGCACCCTGTGACACCTTTCTGATAGGAACTCATCATATATAAACTTGCAGTAAACACAGAAAGAAACCCTAGAGGATACAGTGGCAAACCATGTTTTTATGCAGAGAAAGATCATCAGTTGTAGTTTTGTGGATTCAAAGTACTCTACCTTACAAAGATACTGTCTGCATTCCTCTGAATGTGGCTAACTTTGGTAATCTGTTTAATAGAAGAGTATAAAGGGAGGAGAGTAACTTTACCTGACACACAGGAGAAACCTGACAAACTGATCAGAGAGGTGATACTGACTAATGTAGTTAATGGTAGCACATTGATAAAATGTATAATAAACACTATGTGATGAGAATGACTTCCTTGAACATCACAGTGTACCCATGAAAAAAATATCAAACAAGCCAAAACTGGGAAACATTCTACCAAAATATCAGGTTAGTACTCCTCAAACTGTCAAGGTCATTCAAAGAAATGAAAGTTAAATAAAGTGTTACAGCCCAGAGGAACCAAAGAAGATACAGCAATTAAATATGTGTTACCTTATAACTTACAAGTCAGAAAGGAGGTTTCCAGATTACCAAAAACAATCCAAAAAATTCTACCTATATCAAACCAATGTTTTCCACTCCCCACCTCAAATACACATTCATGTCAACAGACTGTTATAAAAATTATAGAACGCAATGTAAATTCAGTAACTTCTTCCTTTCAATTTTTTTGAGCTTATTTTTTTTATTGTTGTGCTAGGTGGGGGTACACTGTGGCATTTACAAAAGTTCTTACAATATATCATACTTTAATTCACCCCCCCCCACCATTCTCCTTCATCCCCCCACCCTCCATTCCTGGAAGTTTTAACAGGTATCATTTTTCCATTTACATACATGTGTACACAGTATTTGTACTATATTCACCCTCCTACACCCTTTCCCCATCTTTTCCCCCTTCCACTGGTACCAACCCCCACTCCTCCAGGCAGGACCTGTTCTACCGTCCTTTGCTCTAATTTTGTGTAATGAAAGAAGAAAAAAATTACATTTCTGGATGCTTAAGATAGCTACACAGGGAATCTCCTTGTGGTACTTCCATGCTTATATGTATTATAGCCCAATTTGGTCATCTCCTCTATTTTTCTTCTTTCTACTTCAGTCCCTTTCTTATGGTGGTTTCTTATGGCATTCCTATCCAGCACAGGCTGATAGGCATTAGTATTTGAGTCCAAATCTCAATCTCAATTGCACTAATCCCAATTTCATGAACTTAGGTAAATCATTGTTAATAATGTCATCTAAAATGCAATTTCTGTATCTGTAATACAGGAAGAAAAACTTGTATCTACCTCATAGGGCTTTTTCAAGGATTAAATGAGCTTCTCGTAATCAACCAAATAAATGTATTAGGCTGCTGTGATATCCTATGAAACACTACACTCTGCAGTCAGCACGTTAAAAATCTTTTAATGAGGCTAAATATTACTTACTACTAATATCCCTCTAGGCATCAATAAGTGTGTAGAAGTACCAAGACTGCATATCTCAGGATAACTGCAGAATTAGGAAAGTGAGTCACAAAGTAGATTTCCAGATGTTGCCAAAGACTCACCCTTACGTGATCTGTTCCCGGTAAAACAGATTTCGGTCCTTTCAGTTTAGAGTGCTGAAGAATAGTGTCCTCTTGTTTTTACAATATAGTCACCTACTGTGAGCACTGATGTCTCTGGCCTAACACTACTCTCAAGCCTATCAGTTAAAGTCTGAGCTCTCTGCTGCCTCAAGGGAGGCCAGTTGCCCATGTCAGAGTGAAGGACTGGGGTGTTTCTTAACGATCATCCTCAAACCTGGAGTGAAGGTGAAGCTGCACAGATCCTAGGAGTATCATGACATTTAAATCTACATTAGGATTTCCCTTGCCTAAGTTAAAGAAAAGAATTCCAAATGCAGGTCACTCTCAAACACAGTTATTTATAGATGGCCTCTAAGGTAGTCACAAGAACAGAAGAAAGTATACAATGTTTTGTGTATTACCCTGAAATGTTAAACGTTTTTAAGTGACCCTTACACCCTCACTCCAATCAAACCAATGGGCTGAACACCATACCTCAACCTAGGAATCCAGATTCTCTGTGCCCTGATAGCACCTCAGCCTCAGATACACCCTGTCTGTTTCCCTACCCAGACTTCTGAGCATTAGCTCACCCACCAGCTCTTCCTACCATTATGGCAAAGGACTTATCATCAAGCCTAAGGCAGACCAGAGTCCTTTCCCTCTTCTTCCTAAACCCTTCCTGTCCTCCCTTTAGCCAGTGAGCTCTACTAACGCTCTAACTGTAAAATGTCTGTGTCCTGTTTAAAAAAATTCCAAGAACATGAAAGCTGAATCCAAATTACTTCTCAATTAACCATCTGAGGAAAAGGTCAAAATAACCTTCTCAGGGAAGCCTTTATCTCCTACCACACAGAGCAGCCAAGGCCTTTCCTTCCACGTACAGAGGGAAGCAGTCTCCTCCCGACATCCTTCTCACTCCTCTGCTTGGGTGCTTCCTTCCCTGATCAAAGTCTGCAAACGTGCACCGGCGGTGGGGTGCCATCCAATTTACATGAGCTTCCAGGGTTAAGTGTTTCCATTAGTTAAAACTTAGAAAACGCCTTCTGAAATCATAAAAATGACCTAAGTTCCCACTATAAATCCTCTCATTTATATTCTGTCCCCTGTCTCTAAACTCATCAGACTCAAGAGTTTGATAAAGCTGCAGCCACATAAACCATGCATGAAACATGAGCTATGTCTTCAGCTACCTGAGCTGTCAGCAGGCACTCAGTCACTTTGACAGAATACTTAAGAAAAGGAGACAGGAAGAACTTACCACAGACTGATGGGGCAAGGGGGGGGTCTTAATGATTACTTCCCACAGAACCCCTACCAACCACAGGTACAGTATGGCACAAGCAACTACTGTGATTCACAAGGTCACTAGCCACCACAGTCACAGCCAGCATGGAGGCAAACTCAGATCCCTGTAAAACAAGAGCACATTCTAGAATAACAGTACATAAGCCAGGGCCACAGAGGCTCCAGGACCTGCTTTTGGAGAAATAATAAATCACACTATTTAAGCATGGGACTACCCATGACAGACTTTGCTCTTCGTCCCTGCTTCAAAGAAAGGGTCTACTATCCCCTGTAGCACAGTATTCCCAGTAGGCCACCTTGGGTCTTCCTGAATGACAGGTGTTTATTTTAAACAATGTGCAACATCAATATTCTATTAAGCAAAAAAACCAAACCAGGAATGCTATGGCAAGTGTTAACTGGGGACCTACCTACACGTGGTTTGCCAGCTCTACCACATGTACACATATAATCTTGGGTAATTTCCTAACCTCCCTACCTCTACAATGCTCTGCTTTTCCAGGAAATGACTTAGATTACTAGGTAAGGAACAAAAATTGAATCCAGGTTCTCACCCGCTGTGCCGTGCACTCAAAGCTGCCACTTAAATATATGTGTAATTAATGCTAGGGTCTTTTCTAGCCATAAAATGTCCATGGAAACACTTTCTCTTCTAAGAGTACATCTCCACACACATTATGCATGTATGTGTGTACAGAATATATATGTATGACACATAGTATCTGTATCACCTCATATACGTACAAAAAGGTAGCTAGAGGGTATGTGGTACCTGGTGTCTGTATCTATGCATAGTACTTCTTTCTATTATCTACTACCACATTAGGAGAGGCATGTGACTAGAGCAGTCAAAGGATTACGATTATTAAAACAGTATTATAATGTTTTAAATACTTCAAAAATATAAATCATAACCACGTATAGGCCGCACACCTAAAATCACAGTTACTTGAGAGCGATAGGTAGGACAGCGGATGGAGGCTGGCCCCAGGGCAAAAACAGGAGACCTTACCAGAAAAATAACCCCAAAGCAAAAAGGGCTGCAGGCACTACTCAAGTGGTAGTAAGGATGTGAGTTCAAACCCCAGTACTGCCAAAAACAAATTTTTTTAAATAAACATATATAACTGATGAGCATAACTCTTGGACTGTTTAGTGAGAAAAGTAACATTTTTCTGAATGTATGGAAAAGAGTAATATTGTTATTATTATTTTAAACATCATTACAAAAATTAACTATACATAAAATATTTCAAAAGCCACAATGATAATATACATTATCTTTTGAGAATATGTAAAACTTTTCAGGTCCATGCATTTGCAAAGGTGATTTTCAGAAAGTTTAATTAAAGAAATGTCAGACCTGGAAATTTCCAAAATATAAAAAATCCTGCCTTGGGGAGGGAAAAAAATCTGGATGTGAGGGCCTAGTTTGGCAAAGCATTGTGCCTCCCAATTGTCCTTCTCTGCTTCACAAAGAAGTCTGTATCTTCAGAATAGCTCCAGACCTGCTCAGTATTTGGACACTGGCCTTTATAAATGGACTTGTCAAAGATGCATCCAGTATCTCAGGCATTTGGCAGCAGTAATCCAAACAGACTGACAGGGAAGGCTGCAGAGAAGTGTCAGCCATAAGAATTCTTCAAGACATAAAAATGAGGGCTCTAGTCATGTAGGACACACCTGGACTCCGGGTACTCTGGAGGGAGAAGCATGAGGATCATGAGTTTGAGGACATCCTAAGCTACAGTGAAATCCTGTCTCAAAAAAAAGGTGGGAGAGAGGGAGAGGAGATCTTAAGCACCAAAGAAAGCAATTCTCCTCCAGCAGCAGGGCACCCACTGTGGGTCCCTTGTGAGTGTTCAGTGGAATGTTATGGACTCTGTCCTCTGAACCTAAGAACTTTGTCCAGGTTAAAGTACCTGTTTTGCATGCTTCTGACATGGGTGTTGGGGTGAAAGGAAACACCGCCCACTCAGCCTCCCTCTACAGCTGAAAAACACCTAAGAAAAGATCCTCAGAAAATTGCACTTGGGGGCTGGAGACACAGCTCAAGTGGCAATACACTTGCTTAGCAAGTTCAAGGCCCTGAGTTCAAGCCTCCAGTACTGCAAAAAAGAAAAAAAGTACTACAAAAAAGAAAATTACACTTGGATATTAAAATCCCTTTTTAATCTCAAATTCCACATTTCAGTTTGGTCTTCCAAACAACTGATTTACCATTTATTCAACTGAAGAAAAAAATGTGGATGGTTTAGTACCTAAACTATACCTTTATATTGTTTCCTTTCAAAAATATAAATTTTCCTGTGCAGATTGGCCTACATAATCTTTTAACAACATAAAAATAAGAAACTTTTAAATTACCCTCAGGTTACAACTTTCTCAGCCAGCACGACTGGAAATTCAGGGTCTAGAGTAAGTTAGGTATTTAAGAGGTTACTGCAGTTCTGGATCAAACGTCATTTTAACATGTAATCAGAAGAATTAGGCAATTAGCAGGAAAACGCTACGTAAATGGTTATCTCACTCAAAGTGAAGCCCAAGGACCGAGGGTCGAGGAGAGGAGGAGGAAAGGGTCTGTAAAGTTTGCGTCTTCGCAAGTGGTGAACTCAACTCCGGCTAACAAGCACTACGGCCAACACACACCCGCACAGTCCCTTTTCTCCTGTTCCCCATTACCCATCAAAATACAAAACAGCGCCGACCACTCGGCCTTAGGGTTACGCGGGCGGCTGGCGCACGCGGCGGATGCTGGCGGAGAGGACCACACACATGGGGGTACCGCGCGCGCCGCCACCCTCCAGGAGGGCGGCTGGTGACGGCCACCTTAGGACGGGCGCGTCCTCCCGCCCGAGGCTAGTGACATGGTGACTGTCGCACGGCCCTTCCCACCCAGCCTGGCGGCTGTGGCACCTGAGGAGCGCGGCGGGGGCGGGGACCGCGCGGGAGGGCGGGCGGCGGGACCCACCTGGATCTGCAGCGGCACGAGGCGCACCTTGCAGCGCTCGCTCACCGCGAAGCCCTTGGGCAGGTCCACGTACTGGCCCCACTCCTCCGCGAAGAGCTGCACCACGAATTTGCGGTGCATGTCGATCTGGTCGCCGTACAGGCTGAGGAACTTCTGAATGAGCAGCTCGTAGCCCGCGCCGTGCGGCACCGCCGAGGGCCGCGCGAAGACCGAGAAGCAGAAGAGCACCGGGACGGTGCCCGACGGAGCCCCGGCGCCCCCGCCCGCCAGCGCTTGGACCGCCGGCTCCGTCGCCGCCATGTTCCCCGAGCGAGTGCGAGCGCCGAGGCCGCCGGGGCGCAGACACTGCCCGTCGCGTAGCGCCCGCCCCGCCCCCGCGCGCAGCCCGCCCGCCGGCTCGCCAGGCGGAGGGGGCGGGCCCTGGAGGCCGCGGCTCGCGCGCTCCCCGCCCCGCGGAGGCGGAGGGGTGGGCGGAGGGCGCGCGCGCGGGCACGGAAGGAGCGCGCCCTCCCCCTCCACCGCCCCGCCCTCGCCGGCGGCCCCGCCCCGCCCTTGGGGTGTGCTGCTCCCGCGCCCGGCTCCCCGCCACTGTACCGAGCGGCCGCTGCGTGACCCAGGCCCGCAGACCTATGACCTGTACCCTCCACCCCCACTCCGCCGCTGCCCCAGGTGGCTCTAGGACTTGAGTCCCTGGTCCTTCCCCATCTCCTCCGCCTTCCGACAGCCAGCCGTGGGAGGATTGCCTTGGGGACCGAAGTCGGCCGGGCTCATCTGGGATGGGTTACCTGTTGGCGGGTGCAGAGTCCTTCCGGAGGACGGCGGCGCTACCTTAAAGTCAACGAGACAGGTTCATTAAGAAGAGGAGTGGAATTCAGGGATTCCTTGCAGGGCCAGCCAAGATTTGAAATTTCGTGATTTCTTTTCTTTTTTCAGTCCCAGAGAATACAGAATTTCCAGTTATAGAGTTGAGATCTTGGTCTTCCTTTATCTCAGCCTGATTTCTGGGATGACTTGAAATGTAACTGCAAAATATGAAAAGGCCTACAACTGGAGATTTCTGTTTGTTCCCAAGTGAGTAAAAATGATCACCTTCAAATAAAACCAGCCTGTGCACACTGTAAAACACTGAAAGTAAAAGGAAATCGAAAAGTGTACAATAACTTTCTCTACTCTCAGAGTTTAGGATGATGGATTTAGGAGTGTAAACCATAAAATTCCATTAGAGGTACAAGTAATACCTGCTAGACAGGGTTTCTCAAACTGTTGATGTATGGAAATACTTATCTTTCCTGAGGGATATGGGTACATGTATAAGATGTTTAGTGTCATTTCTGCCCTTTACCTTCACGGGATGCAGTGTGCCTTCTGCTTCATGGTCATGACAGTTCAAAAGGTTTGTGACATAGAGAGCCCCAGGGAGCAGGTTTGTCCCCAGTTGAGAACCACACTGGTTTAAAATAACACTAAGACCATCATTTGGCTGAACTTGGAAATTTCTAGTCTTCATGAAACAGATCTCATGTATAACAATTATCTAAATCCATCAGACCCAAAATAATGTTTTCTCAGATAATTCTATTGGAAGGTCCTCCATATGCAGATGTGTAATTTATGTTAACAGAACAGCCCCTAGGCTGTTACTAAAAGGAACCTAGTCTGCATGGACTAATTTTAAAAAGTATCAGTTGTAGTCCACTAAGGATGGGCCTGGGTTTCAGGACCCCTCAACAAGTAAGTCAACATACTCATTCCATCCAGTTTTTTGGTTTTGTTTTGTTTTTTCTTTTGTTTTGGGCAGTACTGGGACTTGAACTTAGATCTTTATGCTTGCTAGGCAGGCATTCACCACTTGAGCTTCTCCTCTAGCCCTTTTTGTTTTAGTTATTTTTCAGATAGGGCCTCAAGCTTTTTGCCCAGGCTGCCCTTGAATTAAAATTCTGCTACCTCTACTTCCTGTGGAGCTGGGATTACACTCATGTGCCATCATACCTGGCTTGTTTGTTGAGATAGGATATCACTAACTTGTTGCCTGGGCTGGCCTCTAACCTCAGTCTTCCCAGTCTCCCTCTCCTGAGTAGCTGGGATCCATTCACATTTTTTAAATTGGTTCCTGATTTTGGTAAAGAAACCAGTTTTCACAGATACTGTACTACCATATGAGACTGGCCTTTGGCAACCCGATTTAGTCATGCAGTTTCTGGTAATAGCACATCAGATAGCATAGGCACCTTCACTTGTATTGAGACTCGACTGTGTGTCAGGCAGTGCAGCACTGTAGTAGAAAAGGGGCACGTGTGCTCATTTCACTGAAAAATACTACTCTTAGGAATTCAATTAGAGTGATAATTAAAGTAACTTATAAATGCTATTGGAAGGAGTCAGTGAATAGGAACCCATAAATGGATATTCCAATAATACATAGAATATAACCATCCTACTTAACAAAATCACTATTATGGATAAAATGCTCAAAATGATTTCATATGACTCAGAAGCTTAGCTAATTAAAATTAAGCACATACTTTCAGAATTTAAATTACAAGCAATTCAAGAAGTTAGATTATACAATATTGATTAATATGTTAATGTACTACAAAAATAAACCCAGAAATATCAATGGATTAACACAACAAAGACATGTTTCCTAGTGAACAGCAATATTTGATAAACTCATCACTCTCTTCATTTCAGCTCTTGGATATCATGCTTTAACATTTCTTCTTCTGCCTCATTTCCAGGTGCTTTTCCTATGTTCTTCTCGTTCCCCAATCCTCTGACCATTTGAGGACACGAAGACTCAAGTTATCTTAAGAGACCCTCAGCTTAAAATACCATCCTTATACTTTTGACTTCCAAACTGACATCATCCAGGCTCTCAGCCCTAAACTCTAGACTTTTATACAAGTACCTATTCAACATCTCACTTGGATAGTTAATAGTTGCCTCACCTTCAACATGACCAAAAAGAAACTCTTGGTTTTGCCCCCTTTTTCAGCATTTTCCTTCCTCTGTTAACATCTAAGCAAATGGCAACTCTATTTTAGTCAGAGAGTACATTAACCATGGGTTTATTATTTAATTTTCTTCTTTTTCTCCTCCTCCCCCCAATCTATCAGGAAGACCAGATGGATCAGAACACTTCGCCAATATCTCTGGAGTGCAGATGGTCCCTGGCAATTGTTAACCAGTGGCGAACTGGACTCATGTACTAAGGAAAAGAATGCGAAAGCTGTATAACACATTTGAAACATAGGAGAGGAAATACTAGTTATAGAAATAAAGGAATCAGTGATATTTGATAATGAAATGATAATTGGTATTTAAAAGCTAAGTGTGAAAGCCTGTAGTGTAACTGGTCCTCCTGACTCCTAGCCAGTGTAACTCCCTCTTGCAGCAAGCACCATTTAGTTGTTCTGTGTGTCAGCACAAATCCTCCTTCCTTTCAAAGTGAGCAAAACCCCTGACAAAAGCAGTAAATTTCCCAGGATTTGTGTCTTATGGTATTTAAGCCTGTAGTGACTTCTGCTGTTTTGATATTAGGTGGTTCTCTAAATTAAGTCCAAGTTCCTGCTATAGAGGTAAAGCTGTATCAATAGTAGTTTCATAGGTGATGGATTGGTGGCTTCAGGAGCTCAGGAGACTCTTAGCAGTTTTGGACCAGCCTGTTCTGTAAACACAGTACTCCGCAATCATCCACTTCTAAAACTCATTTTACTCATTAAAGCTGGGCTTGTTTGAGTCATTCTTTGGGCTGTGATGCCATCACAATTTAGAGGCAAAGGTTTCTTTATAGGCCTCCTGAGGAAGTTCACTCAGCAAAGCCAAAAGACTATTTTGGCAACATCAAAATTGTCTCCCAATTCCTTCAGTGGAAAGACAGAAAAAGTTGAGAAACATTACCAGGACTGAATATGAAGAGGAGCAGAGGTCCAGTGAAAGTTTAAAATGAATATCTAAAAATGAATATTCACTTCGCCGAGGTCAAGGCCTGCAACATTAGTATAATTTTAAGGTCCAGTGTCCTGTGGAGTTCTAAGACATTTCCTCTGAAGTACAGAATAAATTATTGCTTCTTACACTTGCACTTCCCACCACAAATAAGGAAGCACAATGTTTAGGAGGTCTTTGGCTCACAGAAGCAACATACAACCACAACTGAGAAAAGCTCTTGACTCGTGCTGTGTGACACACATGGCTTCAGCTTTGAATGGGGTCCAGAGTAGCAGAAGCACCTTTGTAGTAGATCTACACTGTGGTGTTAGCAGCCCTGCCTACGAAGCCATACAACTTGACAAATTCTGTAATACTTGAAGTATCAGTGATACAAAACAATGACATTAGATTTATGGCAAGTCCTAATGCAAGAACTATAATGCAGATACCACTGCATCTGCACTTTCTCTTCAGAAGAAATTTATGTTGTTTTGGTAGGCCTCCGAGCGGCCATGCCGATGGCACTATCCATGGTGAACTGTTTTCTATCAGTCCCACCAAGCATGAGGTTGAGCAGCCCCAGAGAAATTCGTAAGAAATGAATGTGGTCCATTTGACTTCAAGCACAGAATGTGACCTAGATGCTCAGATCATCCACTATTGTTCTGCCAGTGGCATCCCTCTGCACACATGGGCTCCATTATTACCAGGTGATGGGAGAAAGCTTGAGCTTGGTTCACAAATGTGATGACTCAGTATGTTAGTGAAATCCTTAAAAGAGAGAAATGAGGGATCATCTTCCCATGGGCCACAGGAGAGACACTGTGCCACCAGGAAGACAAGAGAACATACAATGACTCCTGTTAATCAATAATAAAAGTCAAATAATTAAGATGAGATAAAAGACTCAGACACTTCACAAAAGAAGATAAATAAATGTCCCACACACACTTGAAAAAGTGCTTAATACCACTAGCTGTCAGGAAGTGTAAATTAAATGTACAAAAAAATCCCTGCATTCCACTCACTAAAGCAGCTAAAATTAAAACACAAAAAAATATAGAAACAAAGTTTTATACATTGTAGTGGTATGTAAAATGGCGTAACTGTTTTGGACAAATTGATATGGCAGCTTTTATGTGGTTACACATGCACTGGTCCTTTAATTACACAATCTGAATCCTAAGTATGCAATAAAAATGGAAACATGTCCGCAAAAATAATTACACACAAATGCCCTGGCATCTCTATTCCCAGTACTCCAAAACTGGAGATAACTCAAATTTCCATAAATCAATCAATAATGTATGCACACAAGGGAGTAATGCACAGAAATAAAAATTAATGAATATCCTATACATATAGCAACATAGGTGGA